CTGTCCTCCTCCATCCTCTCTGCACCCAGCACTCCCTTCCTCCTCCTCCAGCTCATTCCAGGTTTTTTTCCTGGCCCCTCTTCCCCCCCCCTGCCCTCTGATCCCGTGTTCCCATGGTGAGTGTCTGGGCTTGGAGTGTTCCATGGAAGATCTTTGCCTAACTGTGACTTCCTGGTGCCTTAGTGCATTGAAACAACGAAAAACCCTTAAAAAACCACCAAACCTGGGATTTTTGCCCACCTTGTTTGTACAATTCCCGGCTCCTCCGACTTCTCCTCCTGTTCCCGGGATCTCGTGACCCTCCGGGGGTTTTCTATGTCTGCACAGTGGGATTTTTATTGTTTCTGTTACCAATTGTTTACTAAAATCTGGCTTTTTTAATGAAAACTCGAGCTACTTGTCCGAGATGGGAATTTTTGGGGTGTTTTGGTTGAATTGTGCGTCTCTTCTCGAAACTCGGCGCGTGGAGGGGTGATGGATCCATCCGGGAGCGGCTCCCCCCGCCCCGTGGGAGCCACTGGATGTGTTTGGGGTGCATTTAGAACATTAAAAAAGTTGGGAAATGCCTTTTCCTGCCACCGGAATCTCGGGTGACTCCTTGACTCGGTTCTTGGTCCCGTTTGGGCGCTGCTGGTTCCCGGGGGAGGAACAGCGACAAAAGGTCCTCGTGGAGGAGTCAGGGATGGGGAATGTTGAGGGGAAGGATGGATTCCAGGTGAATCCACAGGGAGCTGTGGCCAGGATGTGCCGCTGGAGTTGGTGGCTGACCCTTGGCTGGGTTTGGTTTGTTGGTGTCTCCTCTTGGGAACTTTCCTGAGGGACCTCCCGGGGTCCTTCCCAACCCCAAAACACCGGGATGTGCCCACGCAGGGGGGTCCCTTCCAGCTCAGGGTATTCCATGATTCCCTGACTCACTGGGAGGCAAATTTTGAAATATTAGTCTGATTTTTTTTTTTTTTTTCCCCTCTCTCCTGGATAACTGGGACAGGTTTGACTTCAAAGCTTTATTTTTTGGGAGTTTGACACTGGCCTTAAGGCAAAGGCTAAGGAGTCTTGGGATTTTTTTCCCAACCCTGCAACTCTGTCCCCACTTATATTTCTAGTTGGTTTTTGTTTTTTTTTTTTACTAATAAAACTAATTTATTTTCCTGCATTAACAACATCCCAGCAGCCATGGGATTGTGGGACAGCGTGTCCAGAGGGATTCCAGCTGGTCCCTCCCAGGTTTTGTCCTATATATTGTATTTTTTGGATGTATGAGAACGGGGAAATCCTTTCCCTTAAGGAAGAGAGGGTTGTGTTTGTTTGGGAGCAGCTGCCAGGAGAGGGTGTTGGATCGTGGCTCTGGTGAAACCCATCAGGGAAAAAATATTGGAATGTTGGAAAGACCAAACCTGGGCTCGGGGAGGAGCATCTTGGAGCGAGGGAATGAAATCCAACCTCCCAGATTCTCCAGGATCCCCTTTCAAAGGCAGAACTTTCCCAGTGTGTCCCCAGATAACAGGAACTAATCTCCCTATTCCCAGCAACCCCATGTTTCTCCAATATGAGGAGGAATTCCCTGGTTTTAGGGATTGACAAAGGTCCTCTTGGTGGCCCTGACGCTTCCAGAGGTGGCTTTTACCCTCTGCAGAATTCCCGGTTTTGCTGATGGGAAGGGAGTGTTCGGCTGCTGAGGCTGGAAATCCCGGCCCTGTGTCAGAGCAGGGATGTTTCCATGTGGGAGAGGGGGCTGCACGAGGTTTCCCACAGCTTTTCCACAGCTTTTCCCCCTGCTCCTGTTCTCCTTCCCCTGGGGATGGGAGTCCACGCTGCCCCTGCTCTCTCCAGCCCCACAGGGATGTGGATCCCTCTGGGAGCTGCCTCCTGCAGCACGAGGATGGGGATCTGTGCTCTTGTTCCTCCCCATTTCCTCGTTTTCCTGGCTGAAGGAAACTTTATTGGCACCTTTCACTCCCCCCCTCATCCCTGAACGGCTCATCCCGGGATCTCCCGAGTCCTGCAGCGCCAGATCCCGGGATTCTGCTCCAGACAGGCCCAGGGCTGGTGGGGTTTGGAGGTCTGGGATGGTCTGAGGGGGCAAAGGCTCTTCCCTGCTTTGGTCAAGGCCGAGTCCAGGAGGGTGGGAAGGGGCTGGGGGGGAGCAGGAGGAGCTGCTCCCGATGGATCCGGGGTGACTGATCCCCCTGGAATGGGCTGAGTCACCCCTGGGCTGGGCTGGGCTCCTGCCCATTCCCAGACACATCCATTAATCAGCTCAGAGTTAATTAACCACCTTCCTTGGGTGTTTCCAGTCCCGGGTGGGTGTCCAGGAGCAGCTCCAGGAGGCTCCACCATCCCCCAGTGCCAGATTTTCCCGGATTTTTCCATTTGCAGCCTCAAGATCCAGAGTCTCTTCCTTCCACCCTCTCTTGGCGGCTTCACTCCTCTGTTTTTAGCACAAACCTCGTCTCGTGGGGCTGGAAAAGGTGGGTTTTCCCTGGGGGGTGCCCGTGAATCCCCCGTCAGCCGGGTTGGAATTGTCGTGGCCATTGGAATTTTTTCTTTTTTTTTTTTTTTTTTTTTTGGCGTTTCTTTTTAAACTCTTCCATGTTTGATACTGTGTACAATAAATTTGCAGAATTTAGAGCATCAGAACTTGCTTTATTCTTCCTCTGCTTGATCCCATCGTGGTTGGGGCTTGTCCTTGGAGCTTTCTCCTGAAGGGTGTCCATGGTGTCCCCACCTGCCTTTTCCAGGGATCCTCGTCCCCTGAGCACCGTGCAATCCACACTAATTACAACAATAACGATATAATAACGTGCTGATAATAATTATAACGACACCCCACGCCTCGGGCTTGTTGAAATAGATTTTTATTGCATTTCTGCAGGTTTTACAAAAATATGACAAAATAAATTAAAAAGAAATAAATAACCCCCTTCCTTTCCTTGAATTCCTACAGAAACCCAACGCAAAGGAAAACGGAACGAAACAAAAAAACAACAAAAGAAAGACCAACCAACCGTCCCAATCCTTCCCTCCCCTGCACAGCCACTGCCCCCGGGGCCACATTCCAGACAGGGAGATACTTGGGAGAGGGAAATGGTTCCGGGCTGGGGGTCCGGGTGCAGCAGGGCCCTGCCCTCCCCTCCGGGATGGATCCGGGACTGGTTCTCTCAGGAGGGAAACGGGATCGGTGTCGTTCCCTTGAAGCCCAGCGGGTGTTTTTTGGGGAGCGGCAGAGCAGGAAAACTCGATGGAATGGAGGGAGGGAGGGAGGGAGAGTGGCCCGACCCCTCCCCGCTCTCGGGGAGCTTTGGGCCCCAGTGCTCCCAGTGCTCCCAGTGCTCCCAGTGCTCCCTTTTCCCGGGCTTCACCCCAGAATCTCCCTCATCTTCCTCTCCCTGCGTCCCCCACGTGTGGGAGGGTGAGGAGGGCCCAGAGCCCTCCCGGCCCCCCCATTCCAGGCCCAGCAAAGCTCCGGGGTGTCCCCAGCTCCCACGGGGGAGCCCTTTTCCCTGGAAAACATCTCCCTGCGCTGTTCCCTCGGCAGCGGAGCAGCAGGCGGAGCCTCGGCCCTCCCCTGCCCTTATTGCTGTATAAAATGGCTTCTTTAGACCCCCAAAAACTGAAATTTCCGTGAATTCTGGAAAGAGGCGGCGGGGAAAATCCAACCTGACGTTTTCTGCAGCCCAGGCCTGGGGGATTTTTTTTTTTTTTGGGGGGTGGGGGGGTGGGGGGAGAAGGAGGGCTCAGCCCCCCCTGCCTGGGCCAGGCACAGTGAAGGGGTGACCCCCGGCAGCCCCCTCCCCTTTCCCCGGCTTCCTTTGGGAATGTGGGCGGCTGCGGGCGGAGCGGAGCTGGTGGCGAGGGCCGGGGGGGGGGTGACAGGGCTGGGTGTCCCCACCCGGGTCACCTGCGAGGTGCCACCGCCCCGTCCCGGCCCCGAAAGCGAAGCAGAACCGCAGCAAAGCAGGAAAGGGGGAGCTGGGACCACCCCCTCCTTCCCAGCACGGACAAGGCTCGGGAAGCTCCAAGTCCAGACCCGGCGACGCAAATCCGGCAAAACCTTCCCCCGGCGGCGGCGAAGCGGCTCCCACCCCCCTCCCCGTCCCAGCCCCTTCCTTCTCCCGGGCTCCGGCGCGACCTCCGCGCGTGCGAGCGCCTTATTGCGAAATAATTCCAGGGAATACGAAACTGGAGATGGGAAGGGCCCGTCCCGGCTCACGTTGCAGTCCCGGGGGTCGCGGCCGGTGCCATCCATCCCCCGGCTGAAGGAGGAGAAAGTCACCGGCGTCGGGGTTTGGTTGGGTTTTAGTGCAAGAAACGCTGCCCATGCGGGGGGGGGGCGGGTGGCTGCTGCTCCTCCCGCTCCATCCCGCGGCAGGAAAAGGTCCCGGTGCTGGGAAGGATCCGAGGCGGAGGCGGCGGGAGCGGGACGGAGCAGGGCACGGTGCCGTGGCCGGAGGGCAGGGGGTGTAGGCACGGCTGAATCGGGCTCCTCTGGCCGCCGATCCCGGCAATCCCGGCCCTCCCGGAGGGTCCGGGAGCGGCACGGAGCCACACCGGGATAACTCCCACCCGCGGGCATGGAAAGCCGCCGGGACGCTCCATCCGCGCCGCCGCTCAGGAATCCTCGGCGCGGGATCCGGGGTGGCAGCGGGTCCCGGCGGAGGGGCCGGGGGGGCACGAGGGGACGCAGCAGAGGGGGCCGGGGCAGAGCGAGGGGCTGGTGGCCGCTGGGCTCGGCCCGGCCCCGAGCGGGGGGACGGCCAGGGGGGGCGAGAGGCTGCCGATGGCCACGGCTGCCCGGAGGAGCGAGCGGGCGGCCCCCCGCGCTCCCGGCCCCCCGAAAGCCCCGGTTAGAGCCTATAACCGCCGCTCTCCTCCTCCGCCCGGCTCTCCGGCTCCTCCCGGCCCCCCTCCTCCGCAGCCCCGTTGAGGTGGGACTTGCTGGGCACCGAGCGCTCGGGGTCCGCCGAGGGGCCGGGCCGGGGCTGGGGCGATGCCCCGGCCGTGCCGCCGTTGCCCGCGGCCCCTTCGGATTTGCCGAAGTTGAAGAGCTTGCCGGGGTTGAATGGCTTGGTGGGGGACTGGACCTTCTCGGTGGCCGCGTCCCGCTTAGTCTCCGGGGATTTGAGGAACTTGAAGCTGAGGAATCCGGGCAGCTTGTTCTCGCTGCCCGTGGGCGACTGCGGGGACCTGGCGGTGGCCGTGCCGCCGGCGCCGGCCCCCCCCGACAGGAACTTGCCCTGCAGGGGGATGATCTGCTTCAGCTTCATCACGTTGTTGGTGGCCAGGAGGGAGCTGGGGCGCTTGGGCTTGTCGGAGCCGTGCGAGGAGCCCCCGGAGCCCTTCCCTTTGCTCTGGCTCTTCTCGTGGGCCGGGTCCTGCCCGGCGGCCTCGGGCTTGGCCTCATCCCGGCTGGATTCGCGCTCCTTCCGCGCCTGGTACTCGGCGTGGCGCTGCCGCTCCTCCTCCTCCCGCTTGCGCCGCTGCTGCTGCTGGAAGTGGTGCTGCGCCTGCCGCTCGTGCTTCTGCCGACGGGAGCGCGTCAGCCCCGGGGCGCCTCGGGGGGCTCAGCGGCCACCGGGACACCCCGGGGAGCCCTCCCACCCCAGGAGTGCCTCGGGGAGCCCACCAGGTCCGGGGACACCTCAGGAACCCACAAGGTCCAGGGACACCTCAGGAACCCACAATGTCCAGGGACACCCTGGGGAGCATCCCACCCATCCCTGGAAACACCTCGGGGAACCCACTGGCCCTGGAAACACCCTGGGGAGCCCACCAGGCCCAGGGACACCTCAGGGGTCCCACCAGGTCCAGAGACACCTCAGGGGTCCCACCAGGTCCAGGGACACCTCAGGGGTCCCACCAGACCTGGTGACACCTTGCAGAGCCCAGTGGCCTCAGGGACACCTCGTTGACCCCCTCAGCCATGGGTTCAGGGGTCCCAGCCCCAAGCAGGGTCCCATCCCAGCCCCACCCACCTTGAAGGCCTCGCGCCGCTGGTATTCCAGCTTGGCCATCTCCTCGGCCACCCAGGCGGGAATGTCGGGAATGGCCACCTGGATGATGTACTTCAGGAACAGGGCGAAGTGCTGTGGGGGCACACGGATCTGGCTGAGCTCCCCTGGCACTGCCACCCCCTCCCAAATCCCATCCTGTGGGGAATGGGGGAACAGAGAGACCCTACAATAACAGCAGGGGGGGATCCCAGACCCCACCCTGTTGTTTGGCAGCACGAGCTGCCTGTGTCCAGGGATGTGCACGTGTGGGATGGACACATCGGGGGTGTGGGTTTCCAGGGATTTGCCTGCCCAGGGATGTGATTATCCAGGCATATGTGGGATTATCCACGTTCTGTGGGATCCCTGGGCCAAGACCACACTCTGCCACCGGCCAGGGAGACCCTACACAAACCCCCGTCCCTGAATCCTGGCGCCAATTCCGTACCTCCAGCACCACCACGGAGATGATGGCTCCCTCAGGGCTGAGCCACGGGAAGAGCCTCTGGAGCTGCCCGCACTGGGCGATCAGGTAACAGTTGACCACGATGGCCAGGACGCCCATGGCCTCCATCACCTTCTGCAAGAGCGGCAGTGCCAGGGGTGAGCCCCTCAGGGCTGAGCCCCCCTCGGAGCCCCCCCGGAGCCTCTCAGAGCCCCCCGGCCCCTCAGCCCACCTGCCACTGGCCGATGCTCTCGACGCGCTGGCCGAAGGGTCTCTGCAGCCCCGTGCAGAGCTTGAAGGCGTCGCTGCGGATCTCGATGACGTTGTTGACCAGGGCGCACATGGCGGCCAGGGGGAAGGCCGAGGAGAACAGCACCACGTACCCGAACTGGATGAACATCTCCTGGTAGTCCTGGAAGGTGTCCTGGGGACAAGAGCTCCAAGGTCACCGAGGCCCCCCCTGTGCCCCATCCCCAGCTTGTCCCCCAGCCCAGAGCACTGAGGGTCATGGCCAGGCCTTCCTCGGACACCTCCAGGGGTGGGGACTCTGAACCTCCCTGGGCAGCCCCTGCCAGTGCCTGAGCACCCTTTCCAGGAAGGAATATTCCCCCGAATCCAACCTGATCCTCCCCTGGCACAGCCTGAGGCCATTCCCTCTCATCATGTCCCTTGTTCCCTGGGAGCAGAGCCCGACTCCTCCTGGCTCCCCCAGGAGCCAGGGAGTTGGACAGAGCCAGAAGGTCCCCCCTGAGCCTCCTTTTCTCCAGGTTGAGCCCCCCCAGCTCCCTCAGCTGCTCCTCACACTATTGACTCTCCAGCTCCGTTCCCTTCCCTGGACACTCTCCAGCCCCTCAGTGTCTCTCTTGTCATGAAGGGGCTCAAAACTAACCCCAGGACTCAAGGTGTGGCCTTGAGTGCCCTGGCCCTGTGGCCACACTGATTCTGACCCAAGCCAGGTGCCCTTGTCCTCTTCCCCACCTGGGCACACCTTGGCCCATGGACAGTTGCCCCCCCAGGTCCTTCCCCGGGGCTCACCTCGTACTTCTTCATGCAGCTCTCCACCTCCGCCTGCGTCAGCTGCGTGGAGTAATCCTCCTCGGGCGGGTCGATCCATGACGCCCGGTTGCGCCTCCGCCCTTCCTCCTCCCCATCCTCCTCCTCCCGCCTCCTCCGGGCCCGCGGCACCACCGCCGGCTCCGCCGCCTTCGCCGGGCTCCCGGGGGGCCCTTCGGCCTCGTCGTCGTCCTCGCAGAGCTCGAAGACGGCGGCGGGGTCCATGCCCTTCTCCACCATGGTGGGACTGCCCTCCTCGAGGAAAGGCTCGTCCTCGGCGCCGCCGGGCTCCCCGCGCCGCTCCGCCCGCTCCACGAAGCTCACCTTCTTCAGCTTCAGCCCGCAGTCCAGCGCGCTCTCCTCCTCCGAGTCCGACTCCCGCCGCTCCTCCTCCTCCTCCTCCTCCTCCGGGACCCCGCAGCCGCCGTTCAGACACTTCTTCTCTCCGCGGGGCCCCTCCGGGGGGCGCGGGGGGTGGCGGCGGGGGGCGAGCAGGCAGAGCAGGCTGTGGGCGAGCTGCCGCAGGCTGCGCAGGTTCAGGTCCCCGCGGCGCAGCCGCTGGTACAGGTGGGGCTGGGACACCTCCCGCACGTTCTGCAGGAACTGCCGCGTGATGAGCAGCGTGGCCAGCATCTGTTGGGGACGCGGCTGTCACCCGGGGGAGGAGGAGGAGGAAGGGGGGGGTGGCATCCCCGTCGCCTGCCCCTCCCCGCGGGGTCCCTGCTCCTGCCTGTCCTCCCCGTCCCTGCAGGGTCCCCGCTCCTCTGCGGTCCCTCCTCTTCCCTGTCGTCCCCTCGGCGTCCCTGCTCCTCCTGTGGGGTCCCTGTTCCTCCCTGTTGTCCCCACGGGGTCTCTGCTCCTCCCTGTCCTCCCCGTCGGGGTCCCCACTCTTCCTGTGGGGTCCCTGCTCCTCCCTGTCCTCCCCGCGGGGTCCCCACTCTTCCTGTGGGGTCCCTACTCCTCCCTGTTGTCCCCGCGGTGTCCCTGCTCATCCCGGGGGTGGTCCCTGCTCCTCCCCGCGGCCGTGCGGCCAGAGCAGGACACCCAAAACCCGGTGTCCCCTCTCCTGTGACCGCCCCGTCGGTGACAACTGATGGGGTGGGACCTCAGCAGTGCCACCGCCAGCTGCGGCACAGCCGGGGAGGGGGACAGCGGTGTCCCTCCCGGGGCCGGGGGGGGGGGTCCCGGGGTGGGATGCAAGGGGGATGCCCCGCCCCTCCCTCCCCGCTCCTACTTTGGATACTCCCAGTCTCCAGCAAAAGCTCAGGAGGCCCTTAAGGAAGATGAGAGAGAGGTGGAGGTGGAGGAGGATGAAGGGGAGAAGAGCCTCTTTGAGCTGCCGCACGAGGCTTTGGGAGAGAGAGAAGATGAGCAGGAGCTGCGGAAGGGACAGAAGAACAGACAGACACAGACAGAGAGACGCCGTGAGCGGGACCGGGGACCCCCGGGGGGCGGAGCAGCCGCAGGGACCGTGGTGGGAGCACGGGGGGGGGGGGGGGGCCCCCCCCGAGGGGGCACGGGGGGGGGGGGGGGGGGGGGGGGGGGGGGGCCACCCCGGGGGGGCACAGGGGGACGGTGGCGGGGGGCGGGGTCGAGGACATCCGTCTGTCCGTCCGGGCGGTGCCGGGGGGGCTCGGGCCGGCCCCGGGCACGGCCCCTCACCTCCTTCAGCCGTTCCATGTCTTTGAGGTAGAAACCGATGTAGAAAAGACTCAGGTAGGAATTTACAAACTGAAACTGCGGGAGAAGGGCGGGGGGTGAGTGTGGAGGGGGCACCGGTGTCCCTCGGTCCCCTCTATGCCCCCAGTGCTACCAGAACCAGTCCCCTCTGTCCTTCCCCTCAGAGGTTTTTGGGACCCCTCCAAACCCCTCTGTACCCCCCAGCAACATCGGGACCCCTCCAGTCCCCCCTGTCCCCCACAGGACCCTTACAGGCCCCTCTGGGGCTGCTGGGACCCCTGTGTCCCCCTTGGGAACCCTCCCATTCCCTCTGTCAGCCCATGGAGCCACTGGGACCCCTCCAGTCCCCCCAGCCCTCTCTGACCCCCACCAAGGGCTGTTGGGACCCCTCCAGTCCCCCTATGCCCCCCTGTGCCCCCCTCACCAGGACGATTTTGATGATGAGGTGTTTCTCATAGGCGCTCTGCAGCCGGTAGTTCTCTGCAAAGCACAAAGGGGGAGGTTTGGTGGGGGCTCAGGGGGGTGGTCCCAGCTCCCAGCCCTGCCTGGAGCCCCCTCCCGGACCCCCCCACGCACCCATGTCATTGAGCCAGTAGGCCACCTTCTTGTACAGCTCGTCACAGGCGGTGACAATGACGGCCAGGATGATCTTGGGCAGGAAACGGATGATCCGGGGCAGCTCCTGGATGCTCAGCACGAACTCCTGTGGGGACAGGGGCAGGGATGGGACAGGGGCAGAGACAGGGATGGGACAGGGGCAGGATCACAATCAGGGGCAGGAGCAAGGAAAGGGATGGGGATGGGGATAGGGTGGGAGGCAGGGACATGATCAGAGTCAGGATTAGGGTCAGGGATGGAGACAGGGAGGGAGACAAGGACAGAGTCAGGATCAAGGACAGGGACAAGGTGGGGATGAGGGACAGGGACACAACCAGGGTCACGGTCAGGGTCAGGGGTGGGGACAGGGGCAGGTTCAGGATTGGGGCAGGATCAGGGTCAAGTTTAGGAGCAGGGACACAGTGAGGACAGGGACAGGGTCACCACGGAGCAGGGCTGGGACAAGGACCCACCTGGAGCTGGAAGCAGCCAAGCATGAGGAGGAAGACGAGGGTGAGGCAGGCGAGGCAGACGGGCAGGCTGACCAGGCACTGGAAGAGCAGCCGCTTCCAGGGCGGGTAATAAAACTCCTCAGCGCTGGTCACGGGGCTGATCCTCTTAATGCCCTAATTGTGTATGGGGGGGACACAATGAGCTGTGACCCCCCTTCCCTCTGGGAGCCCAGTGCTGGTGAGAGCCCTGGGGAACCCCCCAGGGAAGGGGTTCCCCCTCCCCTCACCCTGAACTGGGGCCGGGGCTCCTCGATGGACTCGGGGGGGGTGTCCAGGGTCCCCCACTTGTAGGCGAACTCGGCCCCCCGGCGCTTCCACTCCTCCAGGAACAGGGTGGCCCAGATGACGTTGAAGATGGCAAAGACCACGCAGGAGATGTCCTGGCTGGTCTGAGGGACGGAGGGAACCAACTGCACCGGGGTTGGTCCCCTCCCGTCCCCGGCACACCCCCCCCCAGCCCAGCCCTGGGGAGCTGCAGGGTGCTCCCCCTGCCCACCCCACCCCTGTGGGCTTGGCAGCCCCCCCAGCTCAGCAGCAACGCCAGGACTGAAGGACTGTGGGGAAAATCTGGAGTGAGGAGGGATAGAAACCCACAAGGAGGGATGGAAACCCACACAGAGGGGCTCAAAACCCCCGAGGAAGGGTGAAAACCCTGCCGTGACCCCCATCTTCCCCCCAGGAACCGACCCCACCTCCTGCCCCCCCTCACCTGGTCGCTCTCGGTGAAGGTGTAGAGGATGGAGCCGAAGACGGCGGGATACACCATGGCCGAGGTGTAGAAGCCCAGCCAGGCGAAGTACATGGCAATTTTCACCCCAAAATAGTCACAGATGTCATCTGGTGGAGGGAGGGGGACACACAAGGGGGGTGTGAGCGGGGCTGGGACCCCCAGACCCCTCTTTTGTTCCCCCCCCCCCCAGAAGTCTCACCGAGGGGCTGGGCCTCGCACACGGCCTGCACCCAGGACTTCATCAGCCGCTTGAGGATCCTCTGCTCGTGCAGCGGGAAAACCTGCTGGATGACCCCCCGGGCCGCCAGCTCCGGGACTGCACCGGGGACACGGCGTCAGGGACAGCAGGGACACTGCCAGTCCACCCCCCCCGGACCCCCCCCGGGACCCCACACAGCCCTGGAGGCGTTGGGGTTGGGGCAGGGACAGTGGGGTGACTGTGGCAGGTCAGGGCTCTGTGCCCACCGTGTGCCCCCCACCCCCGCTGGCACAGGGGCATGGGGAGGGGGACACGGAGTGACAGGGGGCCCTTGGTGGGCTGGTGGCCCCCGGGGCCTCCATGGCACAGCCCCGTGGGCAGGGGGAGCACGGCAGTGGGGGGGACTGCTGTGCCATGCCGGTGCCACGCAGTGCCATGCAGTGCCATGGAAGTGCCACGGAGGTGCCCTGTGGTGCCATGGAGGTGTCATTGAAGTGCCATGGAAGTGCCATGCAATGCCATGGAGGTGCCCTATGGTGCCATGGAAGTGCCATGGAAGTGCCATGCAGTGCCATGGAGCTGCCCTTGGTGCCCTGCCGTGCCGTACTCACTGATGGGCTGTCCCTCGAGGAAGTGGATGTTGTGCAGGGCCTCTCCCTGCTTGGCCCGCAGGTTCTCCAGCCAGTACCTGATGATGTTTTGCCGTTCCTGCGGCACCACGGAGGCTTCAGATCCCGGGGATGGTCCCGATCCCTGTCCCTGTCCTGTCCCCTCCCTGTCCCGCCTTGTCCCCAGCTCAGGGGATGGCTGGGTCAGTCTCCAGCTGGGATGGGGCTCCCTAATTCCCTGGGGAGGGGGAGAGGACCTGCCTTCCCTGCCCCATGTCCTTGCATCCCCATATCCCTGCATTCCTACATCCCCATATCCCTGCATTCCTACATCCCCATGTCCCTGCATCCCTGCATTCCTACATCCCCAAATCCCTGCATCCCTGCCTGGCATCCCCACATCCCTGTATCCCTGCACCCCTGTATCCTTACCCAGCACCCCTCCATCCCTGCTCAACATCCCCAGACCCCTGTATCCCCACCTCCTTGTACCCCTGCCAAGAATCCCTGTATCCCCCCATCCCTGCATTCCCATATCCCTGCCTGGCACCCCCCGTATCCCGCCCCGTACCCCCCCGTCCCCCACCTGAGAGGTGAAGAAGTAGAGCTCGTTCTCGATGTTCTCGTAGATGTAATCCTCCTCGCACGAGAAGCTCCTCATCCCGCCCCCAAACTCCGCCTTCACCGGCTTCCGCAGCCCGATCTCGTCCGCCCCGCGCAGCAAACTGGGGACAGGGACAGGGCTGGGACACGGCTGGGACACGGCTGGGACATGGCCAAGGGGACATGGCCAAGGGGACATGGCTGGGGACATGACCCAGGGGCCATGGCTGGGGGGATGTAGCTGAGGGGACAGGGATGAGGGGATGGGGATGGGATGGGACATGAATGGGACACAGCTGAGGGGACATGGATGGGACACAGCTGAGGGGACACGGATGGGACATGTCCAGGGGGACACGGATGGGACACAGCCAGAGTGACACAGCTGGGGGGATGTGCCTGGGGGGACACAGCTGGGGGGACTTGGCTGGGACATAGATGGGACATGGCTGAGGGGACATGGATGGGATGTGGCTGGGACACGGATGGGGGGACACGGATGGGACACAGCCAAGGGGACACAGATGGGACACAGCCAAGGGGACATGGATGGGACACAGCCAAGGGGACACAGATGGGACACAGCCAAGAGGACATGTCTGGGACATGGCTGAGGGGCCAGGGGGGAGCGGGGAGCCCACCTCTCATAGGTGGCGGTGACGAAGAAGGCGTAAACCCGCGTGTGCTTGTGGTGCCGGACCTGCACGATGAGCTCGGGGATGCCCAGGCGGATGTGGTTCAGCAGCCACAGCAGTGTGTGGTCGTCCGTGGTGTCTGTGGGGGGACTGTCAGCACGGGCCACGGCCCACAGCCCTCCCCAGGGCCCCATCCTGGGCCTCATCCTAATCCCCCCCCCTCCAGATACCCCCCCTCCCTCCCCGTGTCCCCCATCCTGGTCTCCCATCACTCCATAAGTCCTCGATCAATTCCCACATCCCCCATCTCTCCCCACGGCCCCCATCACTTCCCACATTCCCATCCCAGTCCCCATCCTGATTTCCATCCTTTCCCACATCCCCCACCCCTCCCCATGTCCCCATCCTGGTCCCCATTCCTCCTCACCCCCCCATCATTCCCTGTGTCTCGTATCCCTCCCCAACAACCCCTTTGCTCTCCACATTCCCCCGTCCATCCCCACATCCCACATCCCTCCCCACGCTCCCAACCCTCATCCATCCCCACATTCTCACCCCTGCCCAGCTTTCCCACCTCTCCCCACATCCCACATCCCTCCCCGTGTCCCCTGTCCCCATCCCTCCCCACATCCCACACCCCCCATCCCTGCTGCCCCCCCCCGGTTGCTCCAGGTATCCCGGGTTCCCCGGGCACGTCCCTACCCGGGAAGGTCATGAGCACGTCGCAGTTCTCGGTGGGCACCGTCTTCATCCAGGCCTTGTGGGACATGATGTAACGCCCGGCCTGGAGCAGCCGCTTCCCGAAGAGTTTATCTGCCGGGGGGAGGGAAGGGATGAGCAGCCGCGGGATCCTGTGGGGTATCCCCTACACACACACACATCCCTGGGAACCAGATCCCAATCCCCGATGAGTCATGGGGCGGGGACCCCCGACTTGTCCCCGGCTTGTCCCCGGCACGGTCGCGGCCGGAGGTCACGGCCCCGCTCCCGGTGACGCTGCCCCGGGCTCAGGTTTCTCCTTCGGCGGCTGCGGGTGCCCAAAACAGCCCCGGGTGCCCAAAAACAGCCCCGACAGCTGCCGGGGAGGAGCCGCCAGCGTGTCCTGGCATCCCCGGGGTGCCGGTGCCGCGGGACGTCCCGGGGTGCCCCCCTGCAGCCCCCCCAAAAGCGCTCACCTCTGCCCGCGGCCCCTCGGCGGGGCCGGGATCCGACAGGGCCGCGGCTCCGAGAGATGGAAAACCGCAGGAAAAATGGGGATGTCGAAAAAGCAGCCGGTCTCCATGGAAACCCGGGGAGGCCCCGCGCCGCCGCGGGGAGGTGGGATGGGGACAGTCCCCACAGCCCCCGGCGGGTGCCAGCACCGGGACACGGCCCCTGTCCCACTGTGGGGTGGCCACACGGCTGGGACACGCAGTCCCCGAGCCCAGTGTCCCCATCGCACCTCCTGGGGCTGGTGGGGACGAGGGACATCCCAAAATCCTGCCCCGGGATGGCAGGATGGGGCTTCCAACGGTGCTGGGGTCCCGCAGGACCCCGTTCCTCCCAGGCCGGCCCCCTCCCTGCCTCAGTGTCCCCTCCTCAGCCAGCGCTGCCCAGGGGATGTCACGGCCTCTCCAGCTGCCCCAGGGCTGGGAAGGTCCCCGGGTTCCGGAAAAACAGGAAATGCCAAACCTGCTCCGGCAGCTCGTCCCAGGGAATGCACCCCAACTCCGGGCACCCCCTGACCCGCCAGGACCCCCCCCGCCGGGTTGAGACCTCCCAAACTCATCACCCGAGCTGCCGAGCTCTGAAAGGCTGCCCTGTCCCGGCTCTGTGGGTGGAAGTTGGGGACAGTGCCAGGCTGTCATGCCAGGCTGCCACCCCCGGAGGGGGACTGTTCTGGCACCCTGGGCATGGCCGTGTCCTGCCCTGCGCTGCCAGGGTGCTGGGTGGGCACAGGGTGCTGGGCTGCTGAGGTACCAGGGTGCCAGGGTGCTGGGGTGCTGTGGTGACGAGGTCCTGAGATGCCAGGGTGTTGGGGTCCTGGGTTACCAGGGTACCAGGGTGCTGAGGTGCCTGAGCACTGGGTTATTTGGGTACAGGGGTGCTGGGGTGCCTGAGTACCGGGGTGCTGAGTACCAGGGTGCTGTGTCCCGGGGTGCCAGGCAGGCACAGGGCACCAGTGGCCGTGGCAGCGCTCCCCGGGTGACGCCGGCGGGCTGAGCTCACCACCCTGCATTATTTATGTCCTGCCGGGAGTGGTGGCACCGGGCAGCTCTGGGCACCATGGGGGCCCGGCCCTGGGCATGGCCACTCTGGCACACGTGTGGGCAACCAGGATGATGCCCGGCGGGCACCCACCCCGAGGGTCGGGTGCAGATGCAGGGGGGGTTTCCCTGCCCAAGGTCATGGGAAAAGAGGGTTCCCCAGCGCCCCTCCTGCCCCCCCACCCTGGCTGGGGTCAGGGGGTGACCCACCTTCGTCCCGCTCCGACCACGGGTCCCTCAGGCCCCGCTGCCCCCCCAGCACACGGTGCCGCCACCGAAGCGGCCCCCACGAGGGCTCCGTGGGGACAGGGCACGGTGTCCCAGCCAGCGCCGCCCTGTCGTGCCCCTCCGGGTGTCCCCGTCGGTCCCCGCGGCCCCCGTGTCCCGGCGGTGCCGCTCACCTTGGCTCCCGGGATAAGGTCACCGGAGCTGCAGCGTGGCGGGTTCGGGCACGGCCCCGCCGCCGAGCGGAGCCCGCGGCCGCCGGGCACGGAGCGTTCGGGGGAGCGGCCGCGTCCCGGGGGGGGG